AGCATAAAATTGGAGAATAGTAAACCTTGTTGAAATTAAGACATGGTTAAAGATTGCAGTGAAATTTTAAATGTTTTTAGTAAAATCTAATTTTGCCACAATGTGACCTCCCTGTCCAAATTGGAAATGACTTAATGTGGTTAATTTGTTTGTTGGATGTTTTAATACTACTTCATGTAGCCAATTAAGATTTATATGAATACTTTCCCAAATGCCCAGTTTTTGCTTAATATGCTACTGTACTTTTTAGAACAAATCTAGCTAAATGTGCAAGAACCCTTTTGCACAGATACTTAATGTTTTGTGCTTCCATTAAGTAAAAATAAGGACTGAGAAAATATGTGAATCAATATAGAAATGTAGTTCAGATAATTTTAGGGTTGTGGTGGTGGATTTACTCTCCATAGATATTCAGGTAATAAGGGAGGATTAAAGAAATGTACACTGTGTTGATTATGTGTGTGCGCTCATTTGTTTGGATGGTTTTATTTTCCTTTCTTTTAAAGTCTTTGTTTTATTTGTAAAATGTAGAAACAGATGACCTTTGTTTGGAAGGTTTTTGGTAACTTACTAGCGTTTAGGGAATTGCTAAATCAGCTTGGAAAATCCTTTGTAGTTATTACTCAAGTGGATTTCAGTAAATGTTCTATCCTGAGTGGTAACTTAAGATCCTGTTTATTCAGCAAAGTCAAAGCCTGATGGCTGAGAATAGTTAGCTAGAAAAAATAACATAAATGAGAAATGGTCTAATCTGCAGTGTAGTGAAATTATTTTTATAATCGTTTTTCATGGAGTTGGATCATGTCTTTTGTTAAGAATTGACCTACAACTAGGCAAGTTTTTTGTGAACTAAAATTAGTGTTATTGAAGTAAGTCAAACTTTTATGATAGACATCTAAATTGGGGGCCTGTAGCCTGTTTCTGTAACAGGATTACAGCAGAGCTATGCTTGTTTGTTTATGTATATTGTAGGGCTGTTTGTCCCCCCTCCACACACACCCCCTACCCATAACAGAATTAAGTAGTTGTGAATGAGACTAAAGCCTAAATATTTATTATTTGACATTTACAGAAAAAGCTTGCCAGACCCCTGATCTAAATTAGTGGACTTGTGTTAGGATTGTTAAACAGCATTATGCTTATTTTATGTAAGTAGCCCACATCAAAACCTTTTAAAAAAGGGAATGAATACTGATTGGATTAAAACTTCAGTTTTTACACTGTTTATTTGCATTGGCTAATGTAAAACTATCCAATTATCTAATTATTAATAATGTTCATGTAACCATGACTTGATAGAGTTAATTAGTAGAAAAAAGGAGGTACTAAAGCTGTACTTGGTTTTAATTCTTTGCCCTGGGTTATTTTTTATTTTAATTGGGGGGGTTAATTGGGAAATCCACTTTACATTTTATAAAAGTTATACTTGCAAATAGAATTAGGAGAAAACAACTGTTAACTTGATTATTATGCTATTTGTTTCCATATAGTGTAAGTCACATTTAAAGTGATACTCTGAAATCCATTAGAGGCATTATCTCTTGACCTAGATGAATATTTTTCTGTAAACCAGGCTCTAATTTACTTTCAACTTGCACAGAAATGGAAAGTTCTACCTTTATACAAATCCATTTATCATCATGTTTTAGGTCTTCTATATTCTAATTTAAACTCATTGCCTTTTAGAATTGTTGAGTAACTTGAGTTGGGGTTTTGCCATCATTTGGTGGGCATCCCCTTTGTTAATTTAGATTGTTCATTTCCTGAATTCCAGACCTTTCTTTTTATGCAACTCTGTTTTCTGAGACCTTTCTTTCTTAAAGGGTCTATTTTACTCTTTAACTAGATTATTAGTTTGGCTAGATAGAGAATTTTAGATTTAGTGAAATTTGATGCTATTTTGATTCTTGTTTGTTCACATGAATTAGGTTAGAGTTTTACCTCTATCACCTATGTTCTCAAGTATGACGGGTTTATTCATCCATTGTGTTGGGTACTTAGTGGCCTCAGAACTGATTCTGTCCTTATCCCCTTCACCACCCCAATCTCTTCTTTAGAATTGTTTCTCTATCTCACGGAATTATTAGGGTGTGAGCCTGGGACTTCTATTTTTCATTGCGGTCTGTTAATACTTTAAGTGATTTTCACAACTTTTAACCTTTTAAAAAAAGGTTTTAAATTTTAGTCTCTAATTTTTAAGACCTTCCCTCTCCAGCCTGTGTTATAAACAGCAACTTATTCTTACATGGATGCTTATCCATGTAAGGTTATTAACCTCATCTGTAAAGTTATTAATGACTTTACCCCCCCCCCCCCATTGATTTATTATTATATAGAGTGGGTGGGAGGCACATCAATGTGAGTGAGACACATTGATGGGTTGCCTCCTGCATGGTTCCAACCAGGGCTGGGGATCGAACCTACAACCCAGGTATGTGCCCTTGACTGGGAATTGAACCTATGACCCTACGGTCAGTGGGCCAGCATTCTTAACCGCTGAGCCAAACCAGCCAGGGCAAGTTACTGACTTTAAAAAGTTTGTTTTCTCCAAGATGTTTTACTTTAGTGTTGCTTTGGCCTCTGCCTTTTATAGTAGAGAATTTCTTCAGATATTTGATGATCCTTGACTCATTTAGGTGTGAAGCATTTAAAAAGCTAATTGGATAATGTGAATTGGACTGGGAGTTCACTATTGGGTGATATGACTGTTCCCCTTGGAACATACACCCATCCCTCCTCCAAGCTGGTCAGGTTCACCACAGAAGTCTTTTTCCAAAATTCTGCTGCTTGACAGGTAAAAAACCTGGCTACCAGTATTATGGGATCCCAGTGGGGGAAGAAATCGGAGGGATCTGAATAAGTAAACTACTTTATTTTATTTTCATCAGTGTATGCCTATTGAGTCCAATGATCACCCTTTCTTACCAACTTCAGATAATCGCTAGTTTTTGCCAGGATGGGGGAGTTCAGTTGTCTAGCAGTACAGAGAGGATCTGGTGCTTTTCACTGCTTGTCAAACAGACTGCCAAGTAATCTTAAATTTCTGAAGGTAACTGGGTTGCCAATTTCTAAGCCTTTGGGGGCAATTTCTGTGGTGTATTCTGAGATATCCTCACTATTGACCATATATTTAGTTTTTTTTGTCTGCTTAGTCATTTGTTCATAAACAGCTTTGAAAACGTGTTGCTCTGTCTCCTCTCCTATATTTGTCTTTGGGGTTTTTATGTTGTCTCCTCCCCACCCCTACCACTTTAAGTATTGAGCTTTAGTAGGATTTTAGAAGTGATGTGGTCTATTTTAGCAACCTTTATTTGTGTGTGGTTGGTTGGTGATAGAAGGTTTGAGGGGGAAAAACGGCAGGTAAATTATAAGTATCTCACTAAGTACATTGTAGAATTTGGCCAACAAAGTACAAAGGTGGTTTGTTAGTTTATTATAGAATCAATCCCTGTTTACTAATGGAAGTATTAGGTAACTGATTTCAATGCTTCATCAGTTTTGTAGACCCTTGTTAGAGCTACCAATCCCAATTTTCAAGTAATGTATGAAATTTATAGGTCTGCTTTCCTAATTCAAATTTTGTTACCTTTGGTTTACTAGATGCCAGCTACCAGGTGAGTTAATCTCTCTTTCTGGGGTTCTTGGTTTCCTCTTTTTTATTCCTTTCTAACATTTAATATGTGTTGTAAAATTGCAAGTCTTGTTACCACATTATTCTTTCTATACTGGGGTGGCAATTGCTTCATTTTTCTTTGTTGGTCACAAGTATTAGAATACAGTGTGTGGAATACCTGTCCAGTTGCTATTCACGCTGAGATAATTTTGAAAGGTAGTGTTAACATTAGGATCCAGTTATTAAGCCTTTGTGTTCTATACTTTTCAATCTTCGTGCTTTTATTGTTTTACTGCTTAGAAAAGTTTTTTTGAAGTTATGTTGTACTTTAAAAATACTTTGTTTAGAGCATTGATATAATGGGATTTTGAAAACCACAACAATTCACTGTCTACCACAATATTTGTGTTGGTCCTGAAATGTATGAGTTTATTTGGTTTGTGATTATATTAACCTCAAATATCAAAAGTCTAGATGCTTGCATAGTAAATACACTAACATATCCCAGGAAAAAAAAATTTTGGGGGAGCAGTTAATGGTGCAGTTTATCATTGCTTATATTTAAGGATGACCCCAAGCTATTCATAAAATAGTATTTTTTTTACTGTCTAATTTTGACATAGTTGAAAAGGGGTGCAGATTAACTTTTCTTCACTACTGGCCATATTCAGTTTAGGAGTCTAGCCTGAAAATTTTCATGGGTATAAATTATTCTAGCAAGATGTACAAATTGAGTCGGCTTGGCTTGTTAACTGCAGTCAGTTCCCTGTAACCTGGACATGGGTAAGGGCTGATTGTAATCTGGTTGGCATCTCAAAGAGGCCTGTAGGCCATCAGAATTGTTTGGAGGTGTTTCCTGGGTTTCTGTATTTCACACACCCCAAATGATAGTTACACTCAAGTTTTAAGGACTTTTAGAACTAAACATGCTGTTTCATAGTATTGTTTTTATTGCCGTCTCTTATAAAGACAAAGGTGCATGTTTCATAACACCGCTCTAGTGTTTTAATCATGGACTCTCAGTCTAGCTTTAAAGAAAATTAACAAAAGACGTAGCATCCTAATGGGTGTACAAGATGGCGGTGGGGAAAGGGAGACAGTAGGGGTGGTTGTGTGATGGTCAAATGGTGTGTTGGTTTTATTTATTTTTTTCTCTACAGGCAATAATACACTCATTTGCCTGCATATTGTCTCCTTTAGTTTGTCGCTGATCTCATCCATTCCATTTTTAGGAATTGGTAATCAACTGATTGAAATTGATGTTTGCTGTTGTCTTGAGTTGGGCTAGTTAAATATTGCCCTGTTGTTATTTTTAGATTCTCACGAAGGACATGTGATACCAGCAGCCTCAGGTAAAGGGACTATGTAATTTAGGAAGACAGTAAAT